AGGGGAAGACGGGGCGTCGTGTCGCTGACGCGGCTGGCCCGCGGCTTTTTCGCGCCAAAACCGCTCGCCCCTGCGCCCTCGGGCGCTCCCCAGCGCGCCGGGTTCGGCCTGGGTCCGCCGGCGCCAGTTTCAGCCCAAACCGGCGAAAAACGGGTTTCTGGGGATTCGACTGGGCCGATTTTTAAGCACCGGCGCGGAAAAATCAGCTGAGAAAGGCCTGTTTGGGGCGCGGCTGGAGATGCTCTAAGTACACTGTGCACCACCGGCTGCCATTCCAATCGCATAAAAAGCAAGCTATTTTGTTTAGGGAATACACTGCAATAAGAAAGAAGAGGGTCCACAACAACAGCTTTTGTCAGGTGAGAGTGAGAGAGGATAGAAGCGTACTGCATGCACAGACCATTGCATGTCCAACTAAATATATCCAATTAATTGTTTTCATATCATTTTGAATTGCTCATATGTTTTGAACCAATATTCCGATTTCAAAACTTTTTATATATTTGAAGTTGTGTCGCAAAGACCTTCAGAACAAGACCGATTTCTGATACTTTTCAAACGAGTTTAAAATTCATGAAACATATTTCACTCTCTTGAAATCTTTTGAATAAAATGATTTTAATCAGTTTCACTCCTTTGAATAACATATTTCACAAAAATCACATCTATTTGAATTGCACATTTCTGAATAACATATTTCACAAAAATCACATCTATTTGAATTGCACATTTCTGAATAACATATTTAACTCTGAAATAACTATTACCCATTTCCAAATAATCAGTTTCACATGTTGACATTACATTTCACTTTTCACTGGTTTGTTTCACAAAAATCACATCTATTTCAATTGCACTTTTTTGTAAAAAAAACATATTTCACTCTTTTGAAATAAACCGTTACACATTTGAAAAAAAATTAGTTTCACGTGCTGACATTACATTTCACTTTGCGCTGACTCGTTTCACAACAATCACATTTATTTCAATTACAAATTTTTGGAATAACATATTTCACTCTTTTGAAATAAACTATTACACTCTACCAAATAATTAGTTTCACATGTTGAAATTACATTTCACTTTTCACTAGCTAGTTTCACAAAAATAACGGATATTCAATTGCACATTTTTGCAAGAACAAATTTCACTCTTTTGAAATGAACTGTTACACATTTCTAAAAAATTAATTTCACATGTTGATATTACATTTCACTTTCCACTGACTTGTTCCAAAATTTCACAAATTGACATTTCAGAATAACATATTTCACTTTTTTCAAACTAGTCAAAATGTATCCAAAATTGATCTTGTTCTAAAGGTCTTTGTGCCAGAAATCCAAATATATAAACAATTTCAAAAACGAGTTTATAGTTTAGAAGATATGAGTGATTTAAATTATCTAAGATAAATGAAAGTCTATGGATTTGTTTGGGAGAGAGAGAAGTGATGTCGCATGCACACTACACTGACAAAAGTAGTACTATGAGCCCATCAAACTGACAGGGTAAAAAAGAATACCAGAAACTAGGCCGGACTATAGCGAGGTGGGCCAGGAAAAACACGAGAGCGTGCGGCCCAGGATATACCGGTACTTACCGTTAACGCTCAAACTGACTTTATATATTCTTGCTCGGATCCGGCTTCGTGGTACACCTGCTGTTGCCTGGGTCGCTCGTTCAGCCTCCTGCTGGATGATCCGGCCATCCACTACAGCACAGCAGCACGCAGTTTTTGCATGCGATCTTGGATTAAAGGCTTTTATATCAAAATTATCCGTTTCGACGAGACGAAGAACTTTGTTGTTGAAACGTTTTTCATCCAATGCCATCTTAATTGAGTTTTTGGCCATACAAAAATCTAGTGTCAACAGAACCATCTCCTACTCCACTGCCCACCATGATTGCTCCCCTTCGTCCACCGCCGCGCCACCGTGAGCACTGCACGGACGTTTGAGCATGTCCTTGCCACCCAAATCGCACAGCGACACTCCTCTTCTTCACCTCAGGCCAATGGCTCCCTCACGACCTCCATGATGAACTAGCAGCCGTCGGTGTTCGTTGATGTCTAGCCCTAGCTCTCCCTCTCGTCGGAGCTCTCTCTGTCTCTCTGTACTCTCGCTCGAATGATCAGAGGAAGGAGAAGGATAGGAAACAGTGGACATGTGGTTTTCCGGCGTACAAACGCCCGTCGCAACAACGACAATTTTTCGTTGAGCACAAACTCAACCCACAACAATTACAACGATCATCTCAGGGGTTTTATACCTGGGTCGGTGCTGGGACACGATCCCCATGCCTCCTACCCAGCTGAGCACCCGATCGGTCCGCTCTGGTCGCGGCCACCACGCGCACATACACGCACGGCTCGCAGCGAGCCCACAACGATCTCCACGCTCACCCCGGCATCCACTAACTGCCTAGACCTAGTCCTACGCACACACACGCACGCACACTGCCCATACACTAGTCGGACTATTCCCACACACTAGTCAAACTATGCGCAGACACACACGCACGGCCCGTACCAGCGCCCGACACGCTCGGTGCCGCACACACACGCACTGGACATTCCCGCCGTCGCTTATTTCCCAACAGTGTTCCCAGGCACGTCGACCCCGCAGGCCAAGCCATGCGTGGCCTCCTCCTCTGTCCCTCCCTTCTGCTCGAGCCCGCAGGCCAAGACACGCACGGCGCGGCCTTCTCCTCTCTCCCTCCCATCAACTCCATGGACGCATCTGCGAGTGCTCAAGGCGATGGAGCTCGAGCATGCAGGCGCTCCCGTGCGTGTCTCCGTCCATGGACGCGACACCCGCCGCCTTCGGGGTCCGTGGCGACGATGGATTTGTGGGTCGCGCGGGTGGCCGAGCCTCCGCGCTTGGCGCAGACTGCGGTGGCGGTGAGCACCTCGTCTTGCTCCCCTTGCGTGGGCCTCTATGGCTGCAGGCACAGGCGCGGCAGCGTCAGGCTGACGTCCATGAGGTCCGCCGCGGTGGCCTTTTTTGCTGACGTCCACGGCTGCCGCGGCGGAGAGGTGGACGAGAGGGCGCGTCAACGCTCGGCTGGGGAGGAGGTGGACGAGAGGTGTGGTTGGGACCCTGACAGGTGGGCCCTCCTTTAACTTAAGTGTCAATCCGTTTGTACTGACCATTTTGTGCCGTGTGGACCTGACCAGCAGGTCCGGCATGTCAGAAATTGTATTAATTCGCCCTAAATCAATCATCAGTGTTTATTAAAAAAATTAGTACTCCCTCTATATACATAAAGAAATATAACGACATTAGATCACTACTTATATTTTTCCTACAGAGGGAGTAGATTTTTAAGGCGCACAAGAAATGTAGTAGCAAATCCAAAATTAAACTTGAAATGTGGTGTTTTTTACAATTCACTTGGGTTTTTTATTAACGCATGAAAAGTGCTACCGACACTAGAGAAAACGAGATGTTTTGCTCTATAGATTCTTCCACATTATTTTTCGAGTTAAATACACCTACAGTACACCAACTTGCATTGCGGGAACAATTTCATACAACAACTTGAAAATTGAGAATATATTTGCCATGGAGCAGAAAGCCTTTTTCCAAGAACTATGGCGAAGATTCACTAAATTTCATTCCTGCACGCTTGTCTAACCACCAGATTCACACACACAAAAAAAGGATTCACTGAAATTTATCTGATCATAAGAGTATTTTCATTTCCAACAACAAAGCATCACTAATATGCTAGTGCCACTTGTGGTAGTTTAGCACCCTGGGTGCTGTCACCCGAGAAACAACACAGAATCATTCACTGATCATTTCATAGCACAAGCACGATCTTTTATCAAATAAAAAATCATCATGCAATAAATCGATAAAACCTGAAGTCATTTCAGGCTTAACACACAAAATAAGCATAGTGTCGATGGCGGATGAACGCACAAAATTAAAATGATAATGGAACTTATGTCGTACTGTTGCTTTCACGCAAGTACGCCCGCCAACTTAGAGAATTATCAAGGAGGGTTATGCATCGAAATGGGGCCATGAAGTCACAAAGTCATAAGCGCATTTCTTCTTGCTTTTGTTTCTTCACCTGGCCTCATACACTGTGTGGGCTCTGACTCTGTTCTCTATGTTGATTTCAATGAAACCGGGGGTAAAACTCCCCAATATTCCAAGAAAAGAAGGTCACAAGGGCAAACTTTCTCAAAGTTTAAAAATAGACACAAAGTTTCAGCGCTGTTCTCATTTAGCGGACAACTGAAACATATACCAACATAAACATCCTTCATGAGAAAATACACCTCGAAAATAGCATGATGTGACAAACTGAGGTTGGATTTTCCATTCCGATATAATCTTAAATTTGGACAAATTGATAAGTTTAACAAGTTCAGCATGTTGCAACCATCCCTCGTAAATAAATATCTTCATGTTCCCACTCTTCATCTCCATATGTTTCCCAAACCTATAGACAAGTGACGTTCACAAAAAGGATAATGAGACTGGTTCACTTATACACTTATATAGTGACTAAGATCATTGCTGGTAATAACTACTGCTATAAACAATTGATGCACACGTGACAGATAATGGTTTACTCATATGTAGATGTACCATGTTAAAATAAGATCACATTGCTGGTAATATAACTACTGCTCTTAAGCTTGGTAGGAATCTACTAACTGCAAATTGCATCAGTCATGTCAAATACTCCCTCCGTCCGGAAATACTTGTCATCAAAATGAATAAAAGGAGATGTATCTAGATGTATTTTAGTTCTAGATACATCCCTTTTTATTCATTTTGATGACAAGTATTTTCGGACGGAGGGAGTATGCAACAACACAATAAAATGATTAAAATCAGATCAACAAACAGTGTGCCAGGTTAGAAGTTGTGTGACTCAAAAACTCCAACTGACACAGTTGTAAGAAGCTGTGCCTAGTGTCTACTGGCATTATTTGCACCTTTGTAATTCAGTGAGTAATGTGAAACATGGCGTTTGTTCCTTCAGCACGAATGCACAGCGCGTGGAATCCGCAGTTCCCTCTCTTGTGCCCTTATTTTCTTGATCAATTCCTCGAAAGATTGAGGTATATAGTGGTACTCGTGGAACATGAGCCCTTTACTCCTACATACATTCAGGAAGAGAATGACACTAGAATTAATCATATATTCAATGCAGTAGATACTGATCGGGTGCAACTGTGCGGGGGAGGCAAGGTAACTATTGGAAGGAAAACATACCACACGCGAGGATTGCAGTACGTGATAAGATGATCAACAATGGTGAAGGGATGCACAGAGGGGCGGATCCTCTCTGTCCTGTCGTGTATCTGGCAGGAGTCTGCCAATCGCTCGGACAAACCAGTGCCCAGCGAATGCGCCACAATGGGGTCTGATGGTAGACTGAGGTAAATGGAGTTGCTGCTCAAGGAAGGGAGGTCCCTGGCTGAGACTGACAGGCATCGGTCGCGGCTGAGAAACAGCGCGGTGTCACCTATGTTCTTCACCTGGATGAGCTTACGGCGTTGGCCGCCGTTCAGATCCACTACATAGAGCCTGCAGACCAATTGTCGCGACCAGTCAATCGCATTCCATTCTGCCCCATTTGCATAAGGAGCTGGCTGCCGGACGGCGAGCAGCATCCTTCCTCCAGACTCCACGAGGTAAAATTACAGACTTCGCGGTCAGCAGAATGTGGAGCGCGAGCAATCACCACCAGAGAGTTCTCTTGCGGTCCGTTTCGTCTCGGAGGGTATAGCTGCACAATCTCACTCGAACAACACAGGGTGGCATAGAGCCTTCCTTGGAAGGGCAAGGCGCACCAAACATAGAATCCTCTGTGGAGGACCTCCCAATCTGAGCCCGGGTCGGCCGCAAGCACCACGTCCGTGTAGGGGAACCAGACCACCACGGCAATGGAGTCTGCGGAGGACGCCGCGCTGCTGCACACCGCGGCGTTCATGTCAAGCAGGGACCCCTTGTGCCTGACCACCTGGTGGTACAGAGTAGCGAGGGGCTGGAAGTCGACCACGTCGCGCGTGAACGGTTGCAGCACGCGGACCGCGGTGGTGGTCTTGTGCATGAGGATGACGAGACCGTCGGTGAAGCCGATGATTCTGTGCCGCCGGAGCTCCGGCAAGGGGACGCGGAGGCGCCTGGCGGTGCGCGTGTGGAAGAAGACGATCTCGCAGGCGTCGTCCGGGCGGACGGCGTCCCCGTCACAGAGCGCGACCAGCCGCGCGGGCGGAGGCGCGGATCCTGCAGATTGGGGTCGCGGGGAGCGGGCGTGCAGGCGCGCCAGCTGAAGCAGACGGCGCGGAAGCAGATGTAATCGACCACATCGCCGTCGCCGGCCAGGAGCCGGCAGGTGATGAGGCCCACTATGTCGGTGGGCAGGGACGCCCAGCCACCGATTTGCCGCGCCGGCGCACTGTGCTTGCACGCGGCGAGCGGGGCCAAGGCGGAACCTTTTCGCTTCCTTGTCGCCGCCGGCGCGGCCGGAGCAAAAGGGGGCAATTTCCTCCCCATCCCGCAAGGATTCCTCGGTCAAATCACGGCCTGGACTTACTTGGATCTTCTCCTTGGCGTCCCCAATCTACTTAATCTCACGCTGGCGGCTGCACCGACCCCCAGATCGAATTGAAAAATGAGTCCGCCTCTGCCGTCCCAGGTCTGTCTGGGTGGAAGAAAAATCACATTTAGACGGTGTGCCTCCGGGGGGGAAAATGAGATGGGTACCTGACCAGGCCGCCGGCGTCGGGCGAGGAGATGGGAGCACGCCGCAGCGGAGCACCCGCCCGTCTCTCCCGTGAATTTGGCTCTTGCGTTTCGCCTTCAAGACCTTTCCCGTCTACAATACAAAGATCCAGAGACGCGCTCGGAATCGGAAGGGGGGAAATATCCCGAGTATAATGAACTTTAAAAGGTGTTTGTGTGCAATTCAAAAACATTTAAAAGGCAACAAGCGTGGGAGCGCTCCTCCGCTGGGTCGGGCCTTTCTACGTGTCCTTACTTCTTTTCTACCCTCTCTCTCCATAATATGAGAGCGTTTTTTATACTAGTAAAAGCGCACGTACAACGCACGTTAATATTTAGATAATATATTAATTGCATGCGAATATTAGTTATGCTATTAATTGTGTGTTAATTCTGTGATTAGTGCAATATTTGGTATGATATTAATTATACGTTAAACACGTTGAACGCTCGTCATTGAAGCAGTGTAGGTCGTTGGATTGACTTAGTTTGATGGCTGAGATCAGTTGGATCTGCCCCTTTGGGTCTTTTTATATTGGTATAGACTAATGTAATGTAAAGACACTCTTATATTATGAGACAGAAGAAGTATTTTCTTAAGAAAATATCTACGTCTCCTTGCTTGGTCGGACACTAGTTTTTCTTCCCTAGAATTTTATTATGGCGGTTCTTTTTGGGTCAACACATATACGTTTTTTCTAGGAAAATAATATTGCACTTTATTGATCAAGTATAATCAGAAGAGAGTGCCTCCCGGTTACAATCCGGGGTTACATGAAAAATAGAGCAACTAGAGGACTCACAAGGTCTAGCTAGAATATGTGCCGCGACATCGACAAACGATTTATACATGACTAAAGCGAACAGACGAGAAGAACGACGCCAACTCCTTGATATCAGCAGTGATGAGCCCCACTGGCGAGCGATCAGTCATCGAAGCAATTGGTACTCTGAATAATTGACAAACTGTCTAACTGGAAAACGGCTTTGAAAATCCTTTCTCACGGGTGAGAGCCATTGCACGCCGTAGCGCCGGTGCTTCAGCTAATTCTGGGGCGGTAACCTCGACAACATGCTCGCGGCAAGTAAAAAAACACGCATGTTTTGTTGGCTAAAATAGTCATGTTTGATAATTCAGATACTTTTAAAATTGTACTCCACTACAAATCAGACGTCAATTTTTTAACCATTGAAAATGAACGATTCTTATAGCAAATGTTCTTCGGGATGGCAGGTTTTGTTGGCCAGCATGGCAAATCCGTCTTAGATTTTTTTGTCAGAAAATTGTTGTTTTTGCAAACTAAATTTGCCATCATTGTGCCAACATAAATTGCCATGAAAAACATCATATTTGTCATGCCATAAAATCTGACGTCGCATTTTTAGTATTTCCGTTTAAATTGTATCTATTTTTTTATTTACCTATGACACAGTAGTCAGGTTTTACTTTTCGGGAAAACTTCGACCTATTCATCAAACATAATCATAGTATAGACAACACAAAAATACGAGTAATAGAAATTACATTTTTGAAACCTTATATTTTTTATGTCTACCTTTTTCCATAAACATAATACATATTTTTTATAAACCTTTAACATTTTTAAAATACAATTTTTTATGTCTATTTTTTGCATACACATTATACATTAGGAACATTTTTAAATACACATTTAATATTTTCCAAATACATATTATTTTTATGTCTACCTTTTTACATAGACATTGTATGTTTTTCTATACATCGAGAACATATTTTATATGCACACTTAACAATTTTGAAATACGTGATTAACCTTTTTTAAAACAAATATTTTTATGTCTATTTTTTGATGCTCATAGTTATTTTTTCTGTATAAATTGTACATGTTTTATACATTAGAAACATTTTAAATACATTTTCTAAATTTTTAATACATGATTTTTAATACACTTTATGCAATTTTCTTATATATTAGAAATATTCCCTATATCCGTTTTACATTTTTCTAATGCGCAATCCACATATTTTAAACTTTTTGTATATAAAGCTAATTTTATAATTGATACATTCTGAAGAGTTCGAAATACATGAAAAAATAAAAATTAGAGTGCAAAAATGTAAAAAAGATTGTAATTGAAAAACGTGTTGAGGACTTGTCCGGGTTGGGCTGTCCCAGTTGGCTACATCCTTCTATTTCACATCAGCCGGGACATACGATATCGCTAGTGTTTGGGGCACATGTTTCTTCCTTTTTCGTTTTAAATTTAAAAACGCATTTTCAATTCGTGAACATATTCTGAAATCGTGAACATTTTTTCAAATCATTAACAATCTGCAAATACATTAACATTTTTCCGAAATCATGAACATTTGTTAAAAAGGTGAACATATTTTAACAATTTCGAACATTTTTTAATTCACGGACATTTTCTGACATTTTAATATTTTTTGAACACGTGAACAATTTTTTGAACCGGCGAACATTTAAAAAAATTGGGAACAATTTTAGGAATTGGGAAATGTTTTTTGTTTTCGAATAACATTTATTCAGTTCATGAATAACTTTTGAGTCAATGACCATTGATTGAAATTTGGGAACAGTTGTCAAATTCCTGAAATAAAATTGAATATTGTGAAAAATAAAAAAATTGATAACAATATACGGAAATTCATGTTCATTTTTGAAATCCATGTAATGTTTTTAAAATTTGTGAACATCTTTTGGAATTCCAAAAAAAATCAAATAAAGAATATTAGCAAATACGTTATCATTTTCTAAAATCATGAATTTTGTTCAAATTCATGGATATTTTTTGAAATTGTGTACATTTTTTGGAATATGTGAACAGTTTTTGTGAACCGGCGGACATTTTCTAAATTGGGAACAAATTTTAAAATTCAGAAACATTTTTGGTTTTTGAAGAATATTTTTTTAGTTCATGAATACTTTTTGATTACGTGAACATTGTTTTAATTTTGTGAACAGTTTTTTAAATTTGTGAACTATTTTCAAATTTTGTGAACATCTTTATTATTGTGAAAAATAACAAAAATTGATGCTCATTTTTTTGGAAATTCATGTACATTGCTTGATATTGTGAATATTTTTTTAGTAGATGAACATTTTTTTAACCGTGAGTATTTATCAGTTCACAAACATTTTTTTCAAATCATGCACATTTGTTGAATTCATGAACATTGTTTTCACAAATCCACAACTTTTTTAAAATCCTGAATTATCTTCGAAAGGGAAAAAACTTAAAACGGAAAAAAAAATCTTCAACACGACCAGAAAAAATGTTCAAGATCCACATTAAGGAACGGGTCTTTGCCCTATTCTTCAACTATCGAGTCAATGTGATATTTAGATACATTACAACTGAGCACCCTCCCAGCCCTCTCAGGCCATCAGCATTTCTATTCGTTGGATCGCCACTTTTAGTCGTTTTTGGCCGTCAGATTCGTTGTTAGTCCCACCTAAATCTCGTGTGTAGGCTAACTCGCGCATCAGGCTGGGCTGGCCTTTTCGGGCCACTGCTTCGGTGGCTTTTTTGGGCCTCTTATGTTCAATTGGGCCTACTGGGCATGTACTATACCATCCTAAAACAAAATGTAGAAACTGCTCGGTTGCTCCACCTGCGAGAGAAAGGAGAAGGGGATCTGGCGTTGCGCCTGCGAGAGAAAGAAGGGGATCCGGTGCTGCGCAAGAGGTGAGAGGCCGATGCGGACGGTTGCTGCGAGAGAAATAGGAACAAATGGATCGATCGGTCATGGCTCTCATGGCGAGGTGCACCCTATCTATCCAGCGGTGGGTGATGTCACCACTGCCACATGTACGATGATGGAGTCATGTACCTAGGGTAGGGTCACAGACCTGATCTAAGTACCCTGCCCAAGGACATC